TAGAGAGTTCTCAGCCCTGACATACTCCGCCAAAAGAGGGCAACCAAGCATCTGGAGGTCTTGGGGGAGGGTGGGCAACCAAAGAAATGCAGGGACAGCAAGGGCACCCTGCCCCCCTGTGGAGGGGCCAGCCAAGGACAGGCCCAGGACCCCAAGGAACAAAGTGGGGCCCAACACTGGGGGCTTCCTAGGACCCAAACCAAGGGAGGAAGTGGGGGAAGCTGGCCCCAGCCAACTCAGCACCACCCCCATCCCCCCAAGGGCTCCTTGCCTGGCCCCGGTTGCTTGCTTTGCTGGGCTGGGGCAACAGGAGGCAGTGAAAAGTTTTGGGGTGCATCAGAAGTGCGCCAGGGCGAGCGCGGGCTGCTGAGGGCCCCACAGAGGCAATCCTGCGCGGGGAGCCCCCAAGCACACAGGAGGCGCTCCTGGGCTCCCAGGAAGGAATGTGGCCCCGGCATGGGGCTCCCCACCCCTGCACTGGAGCCAACCAACCCCCAAGGCCCTCCACACCACAAAGGCCCGGAAACTTGGTCCCAGGGGGGCAGCCAGCACCTCCCAAGACCATGTGCTCCAGCTCAGGGGGAGCGGGGCTCAAGCCGGCCCCAGCCGCGGGGCCCTCAGACCCACCAGGCCCAAAGGATGCTCGGTGCTGCCCCGCGTCTCCCACAGCTCCGGTGCCCAGGGCTCCCAACAGGTGGGCAGAGCCCCCGCCTCCCTGCAGCCCGCTTGGCCACCACCACCCACTGGTCCCCGCTGGGGCCGGGCCCAGGGGCCATTTCGGGTTGCGGACTGGGGCGAGCGAGGCCAGGGCAGAGGTGGCGGAGGAGGCGCAGGCCGCTGAAAAAAGATGGAGTGGGAAGGGGAAGGCGGCGAGGGCGGGGGTGCCGCGGGGAGGGGGGGCCCGCCGCGGTGGGAGGAAGGATGGTCGGCGCTGGGGCGGGCCTGTGGTGGGGGAGGGGTGCAGGGGTGGAGGGAGGGGACCAGAAGTGGGCCGCGGGGGGGCCGTGCGGACGGCGCGGCGGGCGGAGCGGGTGGGGGAGGGGATGGAGGAAAATGGGGGAGGGGAGGGCCGAGACGGGGGCCCGGGCAGGGGTGACGGGTGCCCGGGGTGGGGGCGGGGGGGGGAGGGGGGGCTGGCGCGGGCCCGGGGCGGCGGTGTGGGGCGGGAGGCCCGGCGGGGCCTGGGGCCCGGGGCGCCAGGGGGCCGGGGGCGGCCGGCGGGGGCCGGGGGCCGGGGCCCGGCCCGAAGCGCATAAAGGCGGGCGGCGGGCGGGCGGCGGCGGCGGCCTTACCTCCGACCCTGTACATGTTGGCGGCCATGTCCGGGCCGGCGGCGGCGGAGGGCCGGGCGCGCGGGGGCGCGGGGCGCGGGGCCTGGAGGCGGAGGCGCGGGGCGCGGGGCGCGGGCGCGGGCGGGGGGCGGGCGGTTTAAAGGGGCCGCCGCCGCCGCCGCCGCCGAGGCCGCCGAGGCCGCGCAGGGACCGAGGGCCGCGGCGCGGGCGGGAGAGGAAGAGGAGGAGCGGCCGCGGGCAGGGGAGGGGCCTCGGGCGCCGCCGCCCACCGCGCGGCCGTTACCCGGCCGGCCCTCCCCGCGCCGCCGCGCGCCCCCCGCCCCGGGCGCGTCCTTCCGGGAGCCCCCCGCGCGCTGGCCAGGGTGAGCCCTCCCCGCGCGTCCCCTGCTCGGTGGGTCCTCCCACAACACGCCCCCCACACACACCCGGGTCTTCCCTGTGCCCGGGTCTTCCTGGCATCCCCATCGCCCGTTCCCCGGAGGGTCCTGTCCCTGCACCCAAGCTGCCCCCCTCGCCCCAGGTGAGCCCTCCCCGTGCCTCTGCACCCGGGCCCTGCCAGCATCGCTGCTGCCCCTCCTGCAGTGGTCATCACAGCCTCCACGCTGGTCCAGAGCCCCTCCCAGGACCTCCAGCCCCCTCTCTCCCACTCTCCCCTCCCTGGGGACGGTGGCTCTCCAAGTCCCCCCCACCCCCGAATCTCAGCTGCCCAGCTGCCCAGCCTCGGACATGGGACATGGCCCCGCTGCACACCTCCCTTCCAGGCCTGGCTCTCTCCACCCACCCCGGGGGGGGGGGGGTCTTTGTCTCTGCCCTCACTGCCCAGCCCCCATGGCCATGTTTGGACGCTGATGGCGCCCCCGTCCACCTGGGCAAGTTCCCTAGCCTGGTCCGGCCTCCCTGAACTGTGGCCTCATGAAAAAGCCAAGCCCATTCTGAGACCCCCGAGGCTGGGGAGGTGGGCCGGGAGGCTGGAATGAATTGGACACCTGCTTGTCTTTCCCAACCCCCATCAGGATCCGTAACCGTGCACATGTGCGCCTGGTGCTTAAGGTGCAAGGATTATGGAGAATGCAAGGCGGTGGCCCCTGAGCATGAGGGGGAGGGGTGGCATCCCGGGGGGAGAGAAGCAGGTGTCCCAGCCGAAGTTTGGAGCCAGGAGTGATATCACTTCTGAGGGGGCGAAGAAGAGGAAGTGTCTGCGCTCCAGGTTGGTGGTCTGAACAGCACTGTGTGTTCCTGCCCTTTACGGAGAGGCGGCAGGTCTGTGGCTGGAGGGGGTGCAGTCTGGTTGAGGGACGTTCCTCCCCCCGCCCCCCCGGCCGGCCCAGGCTGAACACAGGTCTCCACAGTGGGGGGCGGGGCAGGGACAGCCATATACGACCCCCAGCCCATAGGGTCCCTGCGGGGATGAGGAAGTGGACCGGAGCCGAGAGCCAGGAGGGGTTCCCAGGAGGGTAGTGCAGCTCAGGCTCCAGAAAAGGAGATGCCCACCCTCTCTCTGAGGAAGTTAACTAGAAGGGCAGCCGAGGGGCAGGGGTTGATGGTAGCTGGAGGAGGGGGGAGGAGGAGTTCAGGTACAGGACTCGGGGTGAACCTGGTGCGGTGATTTCCCCAAACGGGAACGTGGACGTGGTGGTAGAGTGGCGTCCCTCCCCCCCCCCCCCCCCATAGGCCCCTTTCCTGATGCCCTGGGCCTGACAGTGAGGCTGTGTCATAAAGTATTCCAATACTGAACAAATTGACCAAAAAGTCTCAACTACCAAAAAATGCCCAGGTGGCTGTTAACGGTGGAGAGAGCCCAAAACGTCCATCGGGTCTTGTAAAGTGCCTGCCTCTGCCTCTGCAGGAAGGGCTTCATCCGGAGCACCCGGCCCTGCGCCAGCGGGGGAGACGGGATGCAGACCTCCCTGCAAGGGGACGGACGGGAGGGAGGCGCTGCTGGGGAGGGGTGGGCCGGGCACTCGCGTGGGAAGGGCGCCACTGGGGGCCAGCGTGTCAGGAAAGCCGTCCGGATCCCGAGCTTCCCCATGCAAGGGAAGGATACGCCCCTCACTGAGCACAGTGACATTTAAGAAGACCCCAGGAGACGCCACCGAGCCCCGGCTGCCTCGCACGCTGCGTCCTCCCCTTTCCAGACTGACACAGAGGGGGCTGCATACGGCGCCCTGCCCTCCGCCAACTCGGAGGAGGTCGACAGATCTCAGGGAAATTGCGGGAAAGACCTGTGAATTCATCCATTAGTTAGCAGCGCAAATAGACGTTCACAGGGATGTTGTGTGAATCCGTCCACACAACCGACAACAGAGAAACTGGAAGAGGGAGGGAGGGAGGGGGGAGGGGCTGGTGCAAACCCTGTAGAAAACCCTTCCGAAGCAGCAGAAGACGCCTCCCCAGGACTGCCACCCGTCACGCGACGTGAGAGGAACGTGCGCTCAGTCGTCAGAAGCCCAAATGCCGGATGACAGAACAGCAGAACGGGAGCTCCAGTTAACAACTGAGGAAACCCATTCCCTCCTACAGCCCCACCGTTGCTGGAGTCAGTCGGAGATGACAGTCGGGGGCGGAACGTCTGACGGGGCAAGACAAAGCAACGGGAGCGATTTGCTCGTCAGACTGACTTGGGGAGCAGCTACCTGGGGCCGCAGTTGAGGTGGGCAGGCGGTCGGGGGTAGGTCGGTCTCGTGGGGACGAGGGCGGGGATAATACTCCATGAGGGCACGTGCTCTGAAGACAAAATGACGAGGGTGGGGGAAGTTGTTGAGAGAGGTCAGGACACTGGCGAGGGAGGGACCCTCGGTCCTGCGCAGGTGCGGCGCCCGCAGGCCACAGGACGCGGGCCTCGCCTCTCGAGGGCTCGGGGGACCTGGCTGCGGCACAGCGAGGGCGAGAAGTCGCGGGCAAGGGCTCCGGCGGCTAGAAGGCGGGTGCGGAGATCTGTGTCCGCGGGTGACAAGGGCCTGCAGGCTGCACGCCGGAAGTACTGACCGAGGGATCCCCACCGAGGCCTATGGCGCCTGACCCCGGGCCGTCAGCGGTCACAGGACTGTTTATCGGAAAGCGCAGATCACAGACCCAGCAGGCACGGACGGAAGACCAGGTTGACCCTCACTTCTGCGCGACGCTCAGCACGTGAAGACCCAGTCCTGACGGACAGTGTCACCGAAGACTGGAAGGGTCCACGGCCAGTTCTGGTGTGAGTCTAAGACCCTCAGAAAAACCTCCATAAATCCGAAAGAATCCAAGAAATAAAGTTCTTCAAACACGTAAACCTGGACTTTAAGTGCAGCCAGTGAGGACAGAAGCAAAACAAAGCCTGAGTGGCCACATGGAGATGGTGGGAGCACAGGCTGGTGGGGGACCAGCAAGTGTAGACCTGAGGCCCCTGCCAGCCACCGGTGGGTATAGACCTGGCCACGTGGGGGGGGGGTTCGCTGAGCCTGGGCGTGTGTAGACCTGAGGCCCCTGCCCGCCCCTAGCTGGTATGGACCTGGCCACATGGGGGTGGTGAGCTCTGGCGGGCGGTGTAGACCTGAGGCTGTCGGGCAGGACTCAGCGCTTGAAGCCGGACGTCACCCAGCGCTGACTGAGGGGAGCGCGCTGCCAAAGCCACGTGACACTATCTCTTGATTTTTGCAATTTCTAAAAATAACCTTAGGAGAAGCTTTTAGATTTGGGGTGAAGACGCATTCATCTAATTCAGCAATCATGTTTTCCCTTTAAATTAAAAAATTTTAATTTGCAAGGGGGAGCTCTGTACTTTATCTCCACGTGCCCTCCCTGCCCGGGCCTCTAGAAACACCTGGGTGACCTTCACCTAACATCCACAGCCTCATCTGGATGAAGTTGTGGGCGAGATCTGGGTTGTTGGACGGTGAGCCATGTGCTCTTGCAAAGCCAACGACGTCCTTTTCTGCAGCAGGGGCAGTGCTGGCCCTGGGGAGGAGGACAGAAACGACACGTCCCAGGCACACAGCAGTCCTGGGGTGCTGCAAGGTCCCCCCTTTCCACCTGGGGTGTCCACAGCAGCCTCTGCTCCCTGTCCCAAGCTGGCCTGCCTCGTGAGCACAGACAGGTGCTAGGACACCACGTGGCCAGCACAGGCAAGCCTGCGTGTGGGACGCTGTCACCCCTGCCACCAGAGCACCCCAGTGCCCCCCGCCCAGGGATGTCTTCAAAGGTCTTCCGTACTCAGAAGTGTCCCCAGATGGCCAACCAGCTGGGGGTTCACCATGAGCCGTGGGGGGGTGCGCTGTTGCTCCTGGAGCTGGAAGAGAAACCCACCTGGCTGAAAGGAAGGGGAGGAGCAGTTAAGAGTGGACGTACAGCGGGGAGCGCTACAGTGTGCATCGGGGGGGCCTGGGGGGGCCCTCACCAGACGGATGCCGCCCCGACTCCCCCTCCCTGCTGCTGTCCACTGTCTGCTGGGTGGGCCCTCCTCCCTCGCAGGGACGCTCAGCGGGGGCACTGGACATCTGGGCCTGACCATTCTTGGTTGCAGGGGGGAGTCCTGTGCTTTACGCGACTGAAGCAGCACCCCCAGTTCTGCCCACTCAATGCCAGGAGACCCTGCGGAAGGCAGAGCGCCCCATAACGATGTCCACGTCTTCACCCCGAACCTGCACGCGTGCTTGTCCGTGCCTCACCCGGAACACGCGTGTGCCAGGTTCCACGGCGGGGGGTGGGGTGGGCTGGACTGCCCAGCCAGGACTTGAGAGTAGCCGCAGGGCCTGGAGCCGTGAAGCTGGAAGACGGAGCCCAGAGAAGACGTGCAGCAGGGACAAAGGGACACTACGCTGCTGGCTTTGAAGGCAGAGGAAGGGGCCATGGGCCAAGGGTTGCAGGCAGCTTCTAGAAGCTACGGAAAGCCAGGGCAGATTCTCTCTGAGGGCCTCTGGAAGGGAAAGCAGCCCTGCCCGCGCCCTGGTCTTAGCCTGCTGAGACCTGCTGTGGCCTCTGCAGAGCCTCAGTCCCGCGTCTGCCTGAGGGCGTGGCCGGTGGCCCTCTGTCAGGGCAGCCGCAGGAAGCAACTCTCCCAGTGACAGCAAAACGGTCTGCGGGTGGTGAGTGACCCCGTCCCGGGCCCCGCTCGCCTGGGGAGGGACCCCAGCTGCCCCACCCCCAGGCCCCTCTGCGCCCCCGCCGCCGCCGCCGCGGTGGGTGCCGGGCTCCCAGCAGGGGAGAGGCCCTGACACCCCTAGAAAGCGCGGGGCTGCTCCTCCAGCACCCTGGACCTGCTGCCCGCTGACTGCATCCTGGTGAGGCTCCCCAGGCAAGACCGAACGGGTAGGTCACAGCCCAGGGAGCCCCTGGGTCTGTAGTGACAACACGGAGTCCTTTAAAGCCACTGGGTGACAAAGAACATCAAAGCGCGTGTCACTCTGTCCTAGCTGTTGACACTTTAGCTCCCACTCGGGACTGTGAGCACTGGTGGGGGCAGGGGTCTCCCTGCCCAGCACAGAGCCTGGCCCGCAGCAGGCTCTGGGGCCTGACACCCACCCCCCTACATCATCGGAGGTCCTTAGGGAGGAGAGGGAGGGGATCACAATGTCCCCCAGGTCCTGCCCAGACCTCACCCCAGCTCTCAGGACACCCCCAGGCCCTGGGGGGCAGCAGCATCTTGGCTGGATGCTCTGGGAGGGAGGGGTGCACGGGCCTGGGGTTGATGGCCTCATCTTGCCCAAAGCTCTGCCCCCCCAGCTGTCCCCACATGGATGCCCCGTCGGCCCAAGAGTCCGTCACCAAGTCCAGGGGATGGCGCCTGCCCCCCACTGCTGTCTGTCCGGTGCCCCCGAGGGCTGGGAGACTGCAGTCACCTCTGTCCTTCCGGCCCTCTCCACATTGATCTCCCCAAATGTGGCTCTGCCTCATCACCCCCAGCCCAGGATCCCCCACCCCTTGACCCTCCAGAAGCAGAGACCAGGGACCACAGTGGGCCCAGGGCCACCTCTTCACGCCCTCTGCCCACCAAGCACTGTGCGGAGGTGGGAAGGCATCACCTCCTCCGGGAAGCCTCTCTCTGTGTTCAGCACCCCGTGTTCTGCTCCCCCAGGGTTACATGTGCCCCTTTAGGCCTCCAGGGGGGCAGGGCCTAACATGAGACCTGGCATCCCCAAGCTGGGTGGCATCAGTCCCCAGCAGTTCATGACATTATGCCCACCCTCCTGGAGGACTGGCAGAGGACCTGGTCATGACCAGGCTCTGTAAGTGGGGCCTGCGAGGGCATCATGCCCCCCTCCATGTCCCAACCCCCCTCCCCTGGAGCCACCCCAGCTGCTGGACCCCAGGAAGGTGTGGGTAGCCTCTCCGGGCAGCAGAGGGCTATCCTGGAAGGCCCCACTCTGCCCTGCCCCCCAGGGTCCCTCCCAGAGGTGGCCTCCAAGGCCTTGGGCAGCCAGAGGGTCCTGAGGATCTGTTCTCTCATCCAAGACTCATGAGTCTGAGTGTGAAGAGGGTTCAGCCGCCGCCCCCCCCCCCCCCCCCCCCCCCCCCCCCCTGCCACAGTGAGAACCAGAAAGGCGCGCCTCTCCTCAAACCTGGGGCTTTAGCTGAGTCTCGCCTGGCAGTGAGGTGGAGGAAGGAGGAGGGAAACGCCCTCGGTGCCCCCCGGAAAGGCGCTGGAAGACGGACACTGGCTTGAGTTGTCTCTTAGGAGGGAGGGGACCTCGGGACCTGCGCCTTCAAAGTCACGGTCGGCCTGAAGGGCGCGCTCCTGTCCAGGAAGGCGCTGGCGGACTCGGAGGGCCTCGGGGGGCGGGGGAGGAGCACGTCCTTGTCCACGTCCTCCGACACCAGCTGGGCCACGAGCTTCGCGATGTCCTGAGGGCGACCGCGGGGTCAGGGGGCGGGGCGGGCCTGAGAGAGGCGTCCCCACCCCCGCCGCCGCCCCGCACCCTACGCCCCCTCCCGGCCCCGTGCCCCCCCGCCGCCCCGCGTCTCCCCGGCCCCCCGCACACCCTGGAGTGGGAGGGGGGCCCGGCGGCGCCCTGCACGGCCCGCCTCCGGCGCTCGTCGATGCTCACGCTCCAGCGGCGGCCCGGGCGTCCGCTCCCGGGCGGCTCGCACACCTGCAGGGACGGGGAGGCGGTCGGCGCCGGCCACGCCTGCGGCCCGCCGTCCGCGCCGCGACCCTCTGTGCCCGCTCCGAGCCCGGCCCTCGGCCCTCGGAGCCGTCTGCTCGCTCCGCCCCCCCCCCCCCCCCCGAGCTCGGGCGCAGCCTCCAGGTGCCCGCGCTGCGGCCTCAGGTGGCTCGGCGCCTGCGCCCCCGGCCCCACCACCTGCCGGCTTTTCTGCCCGAGGGTCGGCGCCCAGGCGGGAAGTCCGCAGAGCCAAGGCCCTGGCCCTTCCTGCCGGTGCCAGGAGGTGGGAGGCAGAGGGTCCTTCTCCAGCTCGCCCCCGGAGCCCCAGGGAGACGGCCCGCAGGTGGCTCGCTCCTCCTCACGCCCGTCTAGAGTAACCGCTGGGAGAGGCCGCGGGGCAGCAGAGCCCCTCGCCCGGGACCTGTGGCTCTCCGTGGCGTGGGGCAGCCGCCGGGCTCAGTGCGAAGGCGGGTCGCTCGGACAGGTGCTGTGTCCCTCCCTCAACCGGTCCCAGCACCTGGGGGCGGGGGTTCCCCAGGGTCTGCTGCCCACCACCGACCGTGGGCAGGTCCGCAGCAGGTCACCAGGGCACTTGTTCCCACCAAGCCTGTGTGCTTCAGGGTGCCCCTCAGGTGCCTGCCACCTGCTGTGGGTGCAGTGCCCCCAGGGCCCCCCTGAGACTGGGAGGCAAGCAGAGGGCACACAGGTCCCCTGACCTCAGACCCCGAGCTGAGAGCGAGAGTGTGCGGCTGCGAATCAAGGAAGTCGTTACAGAGCGTCATCACAGCAAATCCTGACTGATAATCTGAGGACTGGAAAGACCCCAGAAACCTGGCCCCTGTGGGACTCAGTCAGTTGAGTGTGGGACTCTCAGCTCAGGCTCAGGTCATGGTCCCATGGTTCGTGGGATCGAACCCCACATCAGGCTCCACACTGACAGAGGAGTGGGGGGGTCTGCTTGGGATTCTCTCTCCCTCTCTTCCCCTTTTCTGCACACATGTGCATGCTCTCTTTCTCTAAAACTAAATAAATTAAAGAAAAAAAGATGTCAAAAACCCACCAAAAATGAAGAACAGGTAACAAATCACGAGAACAGAAAATCAACCATGTAGGCCAACATCCAGGTAGTCAAAGATTCAGGAGGAGAGAGCCAGAAGAGGGTGCACACGCACTTCCAGAGTCGAGGGGGACGGGGCTCCAAACTGAACGGACTCACACAGGACAACGAGAGTGGACACACCTGCACCAGGGGCAGAGCTGTGCCATCAGAACCCCGGCAGTGGAGGAAGAGCTCAGATAGTTGCAGAGGCTGAAAAGCAGGGCACATGCAAAGGACCTGTGGTCCACACCATCCAGGGCATCAGGCAGCAACCCTAGAGGTTAGAGGCAATACAACAATGCCTTACAAATCCTGAAAGAAAAGGATTTTCTACTGAGAATTTCCACTCACTAAAGTACCAAACAAGTGTGGAGGCCAAATAAAGACATTCTAACAACTTTACAGTCGAGGATTCAAACATCTGGACCCTTCCGGAATAGCTGCTAGATGAGGCAGTCCACCGAAACAAGGGAGCAAACCAGCGAGTAGGGAGTCCGAGGGCCCAGGAACAGGGGTCCTGCAGAGGAGGTGCTGGCAGGGCACCCCAGATGAGCAGCCTTGGGGAGCAGCCTCCTCTGGGAACAGAGCTGGCCTCCAGACTTCCCCCAAGCGTGGCCTGTGGGACTCCGGAGTGGCCACCGGCAGCTGTCCCGTGCCTGGGGCTCTGAGGAGGAGTGGGCTTCATTAGCACAGGCATCGCAGCTCCAGGTGTGGCTGGGGTCCCCAAGGAGAGTGCGCATAGTGGGGACAGGCCCCCAAATCCTTGCATCACAGTTTGGGATGGTCACGGGTAGCACTGGGAGGGACAGAGGGGGACATCACTATGCAGCCACCCCGAGGGGCCCTGCCTGATGTGTCGGGACATTTGTGGGAAGTATCCAGCATCGGGGGAGAGTCTGGGAAAGGACTAATAACCTGTGCACAGGAGATGAAGGGGGTGCGCCACGATTAACCCCAGGGAGAAACACAAGGCTGTGCGTGTGTGAGCACCTGCTGGTCGTGGTGCTCTGTGCTCGGTGGATGTGCTACGTGGGTGAAGCGCACATAGTCACTGGACAGGAAACGCTGCAAGTGGATTTAGGTAAAAAGCCTGAAACCACATAGTGGGGGAAGGGGAAGGCATGTGGGGGGAGAGGGTGCGGCGCCCTCAGTCTCTGGG